TAGATGAAGGTAGGATGAGGCAGAATTTTGAGTCCAGAACTGCCTGAATCCACAGTCGCACACTCTTTTCTTCTGCACGTTTGCAATTTCTTTATACGTAAAAGGGATACGTGATGGCAGAAAGTAACTGTGATTGAGGATGCCCCTAGGGACTTGGACCGTGTCCCTGTGTGCCAGTTGCAATTTAAATGGTGCTATTATTAAAGGTAGCCACAATCTGCAGTCATACCTGTGTCTCCAACATCTAATTGCTGAAGTTGCCAGGCAATTCTATCTGCCAGGCACAACTGGTCCACGGTGAGCATGTAAATGATTTACACCCCAGAGACGTCTCTGGAAGCTTTTGCCCCTCCTCCATTTTGTATAACCCTCCAGCTTGAGATTTCTGGTGCCGTTCTTCTGCCTCCATTTCTAAAGCCCTTCCTTCAATTCATGCTTTGCTTTTTTTTTTACCACATGGCTCTGTGTGTCACCAAACCCTCCTTATTTTCACTCATTGTTGTCAAAGCCCTTTAAAAGCTAAGCTGCTCTAGAAAGAGCAGCTGTCATACTTTTTGGTCGCAGGACTCCTTAAATACTCTTAAAGATTATTGAGGATGCTGAAAAGCTTCTGTTTCTGTGGATTATTTCTATCAATATTTACTGCATTCAAAATTTAAAAAACAAAAATTTTAAAAAGTTATTAACGAATCTTAAAAAAACAATGAATGAGATTACAGGTTGACATAAATAACATGTTTTTATGAAAAACATTTTTCAAAACAAAAAACTTGTGAGAAGAGTGGCACTATTTTATGTTTTTAACAAATCTTTGGAATGTCTGGCTTAATTGAGGAAAGCTAGATTCTCCTTTGTGCCTCTGCATTTATTCTGTTGCCATACCACTCTGGAAAACTCCACCATATGCTGTGAGAGAATGAGTAGGAAAAGGCAATGACGTCTCAGCATTATTATGGAAATAATCTGACCTTGCAGATCTCCTGGAAGGAGGCTACCAACCGGGAGTTCCCAGACCGTGTGCTGAGGACTGCTGCCATTTTCGGCGCTCTTCATTCTGTGTGCATCCATCCTTCCATCTGGCACCATTTTCCTCCTGTGTGAATAACTTCCTTTGACATTTCTTGCAACATGGGTCTGTTGATAATAAGATCTTTCAGTTTTTGTATGTTTGGAAAACATCTTTATTTTGTCTAGATTTTTGAAAGATATTTTCACTGGCGTAGGAGAATTATAGGTTGACAGTATTTTCTTTCAGGATTTTAAAGGAGTTGCTCCACTGTCTTTTAGCTTACATTGTTTCTTTTTTTTAAATTGAGATATTATCGACATATAACATTATATTGGTTTTGGGTGTATAACATACTGACTTGATATTTGTATATATTGTGAAATTATTACCACAATAAGTCTAGTTAACATCCATCATCATGCATGGTAACAAATTCTTCTTTCTTATGATGAGAACTTTTAAGTTCTCATAGCTTAGCAACTTTCAACTATACAACACAGTATTATTAACTATAGTCATCATGCTGTACATTACACACCAAGACTTTATTATTTTATAACTGGAAGTTTGCACCTTTTGATCACCTTCACCCATTTCACCCACCTTCCACCCCCTGCCTCTGGCAACCAACAAACTGTTCTGTGTCTGTGAGTTCCGTTTCTAATTTTTTTAGATTCCACATATAAGTGAGATCATACGGTATTTGTCTTTCTCTGTCTGACTTATTTCACTTAGCAAGATCCATCCATGTTGTTGCAAATGGCAGGATTTCCTTCTTGTTTGTGGCTGAATAATATTCCGTTGTATATATATCACATCTTCTTTATCCATTCATCCATTGATGGACACTTAGGTTGCTGCCATGTATTGTTTGTTGCGAAGAATGCTGCAATGAACATGGGGGTGCATATATCTTTTTGAGTTAGTTTTTGTTTTGTTTTTTTGCTGAGGAAGATTCGCCCTGAACTAAATCTGTTGCCAATCTTCCTCTTTTTGCTTGAGGAAGATTTGCCCTGAGCTAACATCTATGTCAGTCTTCTTCTATTTTGTATGTGGGTTGCAGCCACACCATGGCCACCACCAAGGGGTGTAGGTCCACGCCTGGGAACTGAACTCAGGCCACTGAAGTAGAGCATGCCAAACTTAACCACTAGGCCACAGGGCCAGTCCCTTGAGTTAGTATTTTGGTTTCCTTTAGATAAATACCCAGAAGTGGAATTGCTGGATCATATAGTAGTTGTATTTTTAATTTTTTGTGGAACTTCCGTATTGTTTTCCATAATGTCTGCACCAATTCACATTCCCACCAACAGTGCACAAGGGTTCCCTTTTCTCCACATCCTCACCAACACTTGTTATTTCTTGTCTTTTTGATAATAGCCATTCTAAAAGGTGTGAGGTGATATCTTATTGTAGTTTTGATTTGCATTTCCCTGATAATGAGTGATATTGAGTACCTTTTCATGTACCAGTTGGCCATCTGTATGTCTTTTTTGGAAAAATGTCTATTCAGATCCTCTGCCCTTTTTTTTTTTTTTTTTTTTGGTGAGGAAGGTTGGCCCTGAGCTAACATCTTATTGCCAATCCTTCCTCTTTTTTTTTTTTTTTCGCTTGAGGAAGATTGTCCTTGAGCTGACATCTATGCCAGTCTTCTTCTATTTTATATGTGGGACACTGCCACAGCATGGCGTGACCAGCAGTGTGTAGGTCCACACCCAGGATCTAAACCCACAAACCCTGGGTCAGCGAAGCAGTGTGCCAACTTAACCACTACACCACTGGGCCAGCCCCTAAAACTTCTTTTTTTTTTTTTTAATTTTTTTTAAATTTTTTTCCTTTTTCTCCCCAAAGCCCTCCCCCCCACCCAGTACATACTTGTATATTCTTCGCTGTGGGTCCCTCCAGTTGTGGCATGTGGGATGCCACCTCAGCGTGGTTTGATGAGCAGTGCCATGTCCGCGCCCAGGATTCGAACCAACGAAACACTGGGCCGCCTGCAGTGGAGTGCGTGAACTTAACCACTCGGCCACGGGGCCAGCCCCTCTAAAACTTCTTCTTTTTAAATAATTATAGCCTAACAGGAAGTTACAAAAATATACATAGAGTCACTTATACTCTTCTCCTAGGTTCTCCCAATGGTGTAACTGTAGTGCAATATCAAATCTGGGAAAATAACGTTGGTACGATTCTGCTAACTAGGCTATAGACCTGATTTAGTTTTTACCATTTTTAACATACATTTATTTGTGTTTGTGTGTAGTTCCATGCAGTTTTATCTTATGTATAGAGTCATGTAACCACCACCGCAATCAAGATGGAAAACTGTTTCATCATCACAAAAGAACTCCCTTGTGCTACGCTTTTATATTCAACCATCTCTGTCTCCTGATAACCATTAATCCATTCTCCATTTCTGTGGTTCTGCATTTTGAGACTGTTATACAAATGGAATCATAAAGTATGTAACACCTTCAAATTTACCAGTGAAACCATCTGAACCTGGAATTTTCTTTGTGGGAAGGTTTTTAAATGCAAATTTCGTTTTTAAAAATGGATATAAGAGTATTCAGCTTATCTATTTCTTTTCGAATGGGCTTTGATCATTTGTATCTTTCAAGGAATCTGTCCATTTCATCTGATTTATGAAATTTATTATAATAAATTTGTTCACAATATTCCTTTACTATCTCTTAATGTCTGTAGGATCCGATAATTGTAATTTGTGTCTTCCCTTTCTTTCTTAATGAGTTTGGCTAGAGGTGTGCCTATTTTAAATATTTTCAGAGAACTATCTTTGGTTTCATTGATTTTACTCTACTGTTTTCATTGACATCTCTTTTTCTCTTTATGGTTTTCTTCTGCTTGCTTTGGGCTTAATTTATTCTTTTTTCTAGTTTCTTAAAGTAGAAGCTTAGATTTTTGCTTTGAAATCTTTCTCTTTTTCTAATATAAACATTTAGTTCTATAAATTTCTCTGTAAGCACTGCTTTGGCTACATGCCCCAAATTCTGATATGTTTTTGTCTTTATTTCCATTTGGTTCACAATATTTTCTAATTGTCCATTTGACATCCTCTTAGACCCATGAGTTATTTAGAAGCATGTTGTTTAATTTCCAAACATTTGGGGATTTACCAGATACCTTCCATTTTAGATTTCAACTTTAATTCTGTCGTGGTCAGAAAATTTTATATGATTTCAATTCTTTAAAAAAATTTTGTATGGCCCAGAATGTGGTCTATCTTGGTGAATGTTTCATGTCAACTTGAAAAGAATACCTACTCTGCTGTCATTGGGTAGAGTGTTCTATAAATGGACGTTAGGCGAAGTAGGTTGATAGTGTGATGCACTTCTATCTCCCTTCTGATTTTTCTGTCTACTTGTCCTGAGACAGTAGTGTTGAAATCTCTGACTATATTTGTAGAATAGTCTATTTCTCCTATCAGTTTTAACAGTTTTTGCTTCATGTATTTTGAAACTTTGTTCTTGAGTGCATACGTATTCAGAATTATGTTTTCTTGATAAATTAATGCCTTTATCATTGTATAATATTCCTCTTCATTGCTGACCACTTTGTCTGATGTTAATAGAGCCTCTATAGCTTCCTTTTGATTTGCATTTGCATGGTACGTCTTTGTCCATCCTTTTCCTTTTAGCCCATCTATGCTTTTATCTTTATTCAGTCTGACAACCTCTGCCTTTTACTTGAGGGTATTTAGACTATTTACACTTAGTGTCAGCCTTAAATCTACCATCTTTCTAGTTGCTTTCTGTTTGTCTGATCTGTTCCTAATTCATTTTCCCTTCTTTCCCTGCCTTTTAATTTGATCAATTGAGTATTTATTGTTTTTATTTAATCTTCACTATTGACTTATTAATTATACATCATAAAAAATTTTTTTGATGGTTGCCCTAAAGTTTACAGTATATATCTTTAATTTAACGCAGTGTACTTTCAAATAATATTATGGCATTTTTTTTTTTGTTATTAGTCTGCCATCAGATGAGGTTTGCACTAGAATGTCAATCAACTATTTCACTAAGCACATCGTTTAGTTCCTGACTTTTTTTCAGACCAAGACTTCTTGATGAAGTAAGTAGTATGTTGATTACATTCTTGCACAAGCTCTCTATGTCATTGTGGTCTGGTAATAAAACAGTTACTCACATTCTTGCCCCACTGGACTCGAGTATCATCTTTATCATAAATCAAATGAATATAAATGTGAGTATTAATCTTTTTCAAGGATGTCTTGGCTATTTTTGGCTCTTACATTTCCATATGCATTTTAGAATCAGCTTATCAATTTCCATTTTAAAAAATCCCTGTTGGGATATTTGATTAGAATTTAATTGAATATATAAATCAATTTGAGGAGAACTAAAACCTTTATAATATTGTCTTATAATTCATGAACATGGTATAGTAATCAGTTTATTTATGTCTTCTTTAGTTCATCTTAATAATATTTTTAAGTTTTCAGTATAGAGAAGCATTAATTCAGTGCAATAACATTTCTTGCACATTTTGTTAGATTTAATCCTAGATATTTGATATTTTTTGATGCTATTGTAAATGGCACTATTTAAATTTCGGTTTCTACTTGTTTGCTGTTTGTATATAGAAATTCCATTGAGTTTTTAATCTATTATGTATTAAACTTTACCCAGTTTAATATATGGTTTGTCTTCCCAGTTCCAGTGGTTTGTCTGTAAATTCTTTTGTATTTTCTCTGTATATAATCATGTCATACAGTTTCTTTCTTTCCAGTCCTTATGCTCTTTATTCCTTCTTGTTTCCTTATTGCATCAGCTAGGACCTCCAGTATGCTATCAAATAGGAGACACTCTTATTTCATTACTGGAATCTTACTGGAATAAGTTTTCAATAATTAATCTTTGTGATGTTTTTATAGGTTTTGTAGGTACTCTTTATTAGGTTTAGAAAATTTTCTTCTACTTGTAGTTTGCTAAGAGTATTTTTAAAAATTATGAATAAAGTTAAGTTTTATCAAATGCTTTTTCTGAATGTATAGAAGTGTTGATAGGATTTTCTCCCTTTTTTCTGTTAATGTAGTGAATCATATTGATTTATTTTCAAGTGACAAATCATGCTTGCACTTTTAGAATAACTCACCTCGTTTGTGTGTGTGTGTGTATAACTACACATATATGGTTATTCTAGAATTGCAGTGGTGGTTTATCATTTGAATAATATATATATAAAATGCATCACTGGATTTGATTTTTAATATTTTACTTAGGATTTTTTCATATATGTTCATGATAAAAATTGATCTCTACTTTCCCTTTTTTCTTATGTCCTTTTCAGAATTTTATATCAAGGTTGCACTAGCTTCATAAAATTAGTTGGGAAATGTTTTCTCTTTTTCTATTTTCCAGAAGAGTTTGTATAAGATTTTGCATAAGCAAGGAGTCCATTTGGTTTGGAAGTAGTTGACCCATCCTAGTAGCAGGAGTGGGCACAGAATCCAGGCTGCCTCATCTGATCATCTTCTGACCTTGATTGGTGCAAGCGATGGGAAGGTAGCCCAGCCAGGCTGATGAAGTGCAAGCCACAGACTTTTACTGGATGTATTGGGAGGCACACATTTTCTTTGGTACTGGAAAATGGAAGAGGAAAGTGTAATGAGATTGCCAGATATTGTTAATTTTTGAAGCTATGTGAAGGGACACTTGGGGTTCATTACCCAACTTTTCCGTTTGTTTGAAAATTTTGTAATAAAGAAAATTTTAATACGCACACAAAAAGATTGGTGATATTTTATCCTTAAACATTTGGAAGAATTTCTATGAATTCAATCTGACCCTTGAGTTTTCTTTGTGGGAAAGTTTTTTAAAAATCAGATTAAGTTTCTTTAAAAGATATATCACTATTCAGATTTTCTGGGTTTTTTCTCATTTTTTTCTCGGTGATATCAGCAAGTTGTAAATTTGATATTAGTGAAGCAAATATTTATAATTGGAGAAATGATTGCAATTCTGTATTCTCTCGCAAAGCAAGAACCATGTCCTCTCCAGGACCTAACAAAGGAAGATGCTACAAGTGGATGAAGGTGGGTTACGTCTTGTTATTGAGTATATACCATAGGACTGCTTATCACATGTCAATCAGTGCAGCTGAAAACAGAGTAAACTACCAAATCTTTAGAAGAAATGAAAGAAAGATCAGAGCAACACAGGACTATTGTTAAAGCACTGTATCATTGCTTAATTGGCAGTGTTTTCTCTTTTTTAGGGATATACAAAATAAGGGTATGCTTTACAACTAATGGCTTCTTAAAATCAGTGAAATATGGTGGTGTATATGTGAAGAGTAAAAACAGAAAAATATTGTGTCTATTGGCTACTTAACAGAGTGGCCTAAAAAGAGATACCTAAAGGATGCCTAAAAAGAGAAGGTCTCTGTGGATTAGAATTGGAATTATTGGTTCCAATTCTTCACGTGTCCCTTTGGCTATTCCCTTTGCCATGTGACTTTGTACTGAGATAGTGGATATTTCCCACCCCTTGACTTTGGGCTTGATTTTCTGACCAGCTTTGGCCCATGGGCTTTTAGTGTATGTGCCTTAAGTGGAGGCCTGACCTGCACTTGAATGGCTGGGCTTGCCCTTTTGTGCTTTTGCCATCACCATGAGAAGAGGTTCCCCTGTATGGCTGCTGCCCCTTTGGCCTAGGCCTCAGAATGAGCCCATGTGGAGTAGACCTCACAGTGAGAAGTCAAGCCCAGCCAGGCTCACAGCTTGCAGCAAAGCCACCTAGCCAGGCCCAGCCCAGATCAGCCAATCCACAGCTGACTCGTAGACATACAGGCTGGCTTTTAAAGAAAATTAGTAGACTTTTTTTTTCACATTGGCACCTGAGCTAACATCTGTTGCCAATCTTCTTTCTTCTTCTTCTTCTTCTTCTTCTTCTTCTTCTCCCCAAAGCCCCCCAGTACATAGTTGTATATTCTAGTTGTAGGTTCTTCTGGTTGTGCTGTGTGGGACGCTGCCTCAGCATGGCCTGATGCTAGGTCGGCACACAGGATCTGAACCAGCGAAACCCTGGGCCATGGAAGCAAAGCGTGCGAACTTAACCACTTGGCCATGGGGCCAGCCCCAGTAGCCTTTTTTTTTAGAACAGTTTTAGGTTTACATAAATACTCAGCAGAAAGTACAGAGAGGCCTCATATACTCGCCTCCCCTGTTATTAACATCTTGCATTAGCATGGTACATTTGCTGCAATTGATGAGCAAATATTGACACATTATTATGAACTAAAGTCAACAGTTTTATATTACGGTACACTCTTTGTGTTGTACATACTGGTCTGTGGATTCTGACAAATGCATAATGTCACGTATCCACTGTCGCAGTATCATACAGAATAGTTTCACTGTCCTAAAAATCCCCTGTGCTCCCCTTGTTTCTGCTTCCCCCAAGTCCCTGGCAACCACTGATCTTTTCACCGTCTTTATAGTTTTGCCTTTTCCAGATTGGCTTCTTTCACACAGCAGTTAACCTTTAAGGTTCCTCCATGTCTTTCCATGGATTGATAGCGTATTTCTTTTTACTGCTGAATAATCTTCCACTGTTTGCATGTACCACACTTTGTTGCCATTCATCAATTGAAGGTCATCGTTGTTTCCAATTTTTGGCAATTATGAATAAAGCTGCTATAAACATTTGTGTGCAGGTGTTTCTGTGGACATAAGGTTTCAACTCCTTTGGGTAAATACCTAGGAGCGTGATTGCTGGATTGTATGGTAAGTCTGCATTTATCTTTGTAAGATATGGCCGTGATTGCTGGATTGTATGGTAAGTCTGCATTTATCTTTGTAAGATATGGCCAAACGGTCTTCCACAGTGGCTGCACCATTTTGCATTTCCAGCAGCAATGAAGGAAAGTTCCTGTTGTTCCACATCCTCATCAGGGTTTGGTATTGTTGGTGATTTGGCTTTTAGCCATACTAATACACGTGTGGTGGTATCTCATTGTTGTTTTAATTTGCATTTCCCTAAAGACATAAGATGTTGAGCATCTTTTCATATGCTTGTTCATCATCTGTTTATCTTCTTTGGTGAGGTGTCCAGATCTTTGCCCACTTTTAAATTGGGTTGTTTGTTTTCTTATTGTTGACATTTAAGAGTTGTTTGTATGTTTTGGATACAAGTCCTTTATCAGATAGGTACTTGGCAAATATTTCCTCCCAGTCTGCAGCTTGTATTTTCATTCTCTCCATAGAGTATTTTACAGAGCAGAAGTTTTTAATATTAATGAAGAACAACTTCTCAGTGTTTTCTTTTGTGAATTGTTTTTTTTGGTATTAAATCTAAAAACTCATTGCCAAATCCAAGGTCGTCTGGGTTTTTGAAACCACTGAATTGTGAGTGATTTGTCACACAGTATTATTGTTATAATGGCTAAAATTGATACATAATCCTTTAAATTTATTCAAAGCACAAAATCCAATTCAAATCATCTCTTCCCATGCAAACATTTCTAGAAAGGCAGCTAATGATTCTGCTTATTATAGTTCAAAACAATCACTTCACGTCTTGAAAGCCTAGGAGGTGAGAGAGGGTTAACATGTTTCACAGCTCTGACTGTGCCCCAGCTCTCCACTTCTGGAGGTCACCAGAACCGCTTCTGCATTTGCCCTTAGGTGATAGTGACGTTTTCCTGTTGCTAAACCTGAATCAGCTATCCTGCCCAAGTTTCTAACCACTATCAGCTTTGTAGTTTGCTGATTTCCTGCTGTTAACCCCCAAACGATTTCTTTACACTTTCCCCATCCTACCCCACAACAGGGCATTTATTCTGAAATGTGGTAACATCCTCTCTTCTAAGATGGAGTCATAATCTTTGATGTTTGTTTAAATTTCAGTTACTCTTATGGCTGATTTGGAATATAGAAAAGACCAGAACTGGTTAATATTTCCAGCAAATTGTTATTGAACTCGCTGTACTCCAAAAATAAAGTCCCTGACTATTAGGGTTGACAGGCAGTTCACCCAGATGGAATGAAAACACATGTCTAACACACTTTTCAGGCATTTATGACACCAGCACATGAGGAAAATGCTCTGAAAATAAGGCTGCTCTTCATGCAATGATATGGAAAGACTCTGCAAGACATACTATTAAGTGACAAAGAGTAAGATACAGAATAGAGGATATGGTGTGTGCTTTTTGGGTAAAAACAAAGGTCAGGGGAGAAGGAGGGAGTGAAAATAAGAATCTATATTTGTACTTTATTGTACATGTATTAAGAAACTCTGGAAGGATAGCTACAGGAAACAGGGTGGAGTGGGAGGGAGAAACTGGGCTGATGCAAGGCTAAGAGGGAGCTTTTATAATTTTTTATTTTTGAACATGTGAATATAATTAAAAAATTAAACTTAAAAAAGAGACAGAGAAGAAAAAGCAAATGTTCTTGAAGGCCCCTGAAATACAGCAGCTGTAAGTTCCCAGGTGGGACTCTTGATTTCCTCCCTCCTGTCTCTCCTGGCTGTGTGGCTCCATCAGGCAGACAGAGTCCATCTCCTCTGTGGGTTTTCAGTTTCTCTCTCAAGCTTGCTTTTCCTCTCAAGTGCACGCATGTTCTCAATCTCACTCTGAACAAGTTTAAGTGTTCCAGACAAAAGGGGGCTCTTTTCATCCTGCTATCCCTTGGTCACTTCCCTCTTCTCACCACTTCCCATTCATTTACTCTTGAACTCCCTGCCGGCTGGCTCTGTCCCAGCCTCTGATGAAATTGCTCTTGCGTGCCCTATGCTGATCCCATTTTGCAAAGCCCAGTGCACTTCCTTGTTGCATTTGACTCCACTATTAGTAGCCTGGCCTTTGACTCTCTGTCCCTTGGCTTTGATGACAGCCTCCTTGATGGGCTCCTCCTTCTCTGCCTCCTCTGAAATGGCGATGTCTCCGGGGTCCAACCTTACCTCACTGCTCATCTCTCTCTTTGCTTCCTGTTGTTAATGTTACCCAGTTACATGATTTCATCCACTAGGTGTTGGTTGATGTGATGTCTCCAAAAATCAGGGGTCTAATGCTGTCCTTCCTCTCAACCTTTACATGATTATATCAATGGCCTACTGGACATTCCCATCCGGACGTCCTATCTCAAACATAACATGCTTGAAACGGCACTATCTTGCCCTACCTTCCAAACTAGGAGCTCTTCTAAAGACCCACTGTTTTCTTTTGGTTTATTTAGTTGCTGAGGCCAGAAACCTGGAATCATCTCAGACTTTGTCTTCTCTCTCCTACACAATCTTTCTTTGCATTCTTTGTCTTATTAGCCATTCTCCATCTACCCCATCTCAACCCTTCATACCACCTCCCTCATCCAGGCCTGAGATCATAGAGCCTTGAGCCAATTGGGAAGCAGAATGGCAGTTGAGAGACCTTTTAAATACTTCAGTAAGTAAAGGGACAGTTTTGAAGTGGAATGAATAGAATTTGGTGACTTATTATACGTGGGGACTGGGGATGACTGACTTTCTAGTTGGGCCATTTGTGACTTGAGATCAGTAAGGGCACAGCCCTACAGGGAGGGAGGGTGAAGTTCCACTTGAGACGTGCTGATATTGAAGTGACCATGGGACTTAGGCCAGAATGAGAATCAAGGCCACGACAGAAGATTTAGGGTTACATTTGGAGCCAAGGAAATAAATGTAATCTCCTGAGGGAGTGTATAATGAGCGGGAACCAAGGGAGGAATTTTGGGAGCCCCAACATTTAAGAGGCAGATAGAGGAGCAGAA